AATCTTAAGTAGAGTTGCACAGGATGTAATTTTTGACATATTGTAAATATTGTAAAATGGTTATATCACTCTTTTAAAAGTATCACAGCAATTTGATCCCCATCAGTATTCATTTAAAACATACATGCACACATTCTTATTTATAGTCACACAAATTATTCTCTTTCTTCTTGAAAGGAGAAATGCCATTTACTTCCATTCTATTTTCACCATATGGCTTTCTCCTGATGTAGCATTTTTATGCTTTAAGTAATTTACTAATCATCCTATTATACTTGGAACACAGTGTGTACATACCTTTTGTGATTAAAACACTCAGCAAACTAGGGATAGAAGGGAACTTTCTTAACATGATAAAGGGCATTTATGAAAAACTACAGCTAGTTTTATAATAAATTGTGAATAAATTGCTTTTTGCCACTGCTATTCAACATTGTACTAGAAGTTCTAGCCAGAGCGCTTGGGCAAGAAAAAGAAATAAAAGATACCCACATTGAAAAGGAAGAAGTAAAACTGTCTCTTTGCAGATGGCATGATTCCATATATAGAAAACTCCACAAAGAATCCTCATGTACAAAATACTTATAAGTGAATTCAGCAAATTGACAGGTTTTAAGACAAGCATAAAATAATTAGTTGTGTTTTTTATACCTGCAATGAAAAATCTAAAAGGGATAATTAAGAAAATCATTTACAAAGGTATCTAGAAGAACAAAATACTGAGGAAAGAATTTAACCAAGGAAGCAAATCACTTGTACACTGAAAATTACAAAATATTGCTGGAAGAAATTTAAAATTCATGGATTGTGAAACTTAATGCTTTTATGATGGCAGTACCACCCGAAGCAGTCTGCAGATTCGGTACAATGCCTATCAAAATTCCAAAAGAAGTAGTTGACCTTCAAATTCATATGGAATACAACTGGCCCTGAATAGCCAAAACAATCCTGAAAAAGAAAAACAGATTTGGAGGACTCACAGTTCCTGATTTCAAAAGTTACTGTGAAGCTATCGTAATGTTAACAGTGTGGTATTGGCGTAAGTATATATAGACCAGTGGAATAGAATTGTGTTCAGAAGTAAACCCATATATGTATGGCCAGTTGATTTTCTGCAAGGGTGCTAAGATCATTTAATAGTGGAAGGATAGTCTTTTCAACACATAGTGCTGGGACAAGTGGGTATTCACATGTAGAGGAGTGAAGCTGGACCCCTACATCATTCCATGTACAGAAATTAAAACTCTTATTAAACCACAGAACTCTTGGATAAAAACATAGGGGTAAATCTTCATGACCTCCTATCTGGCAATGGATTCTTAACTATGACACCAGAAGCACAAGCACCAAAAGAAAAAATAGGCAAATTGAAAATTATCAAAATTAAAGCTTTTGTGCATCAAGAAAGTGATCAAGAAAATGAAAAGATAACTTATAGAATCGGAGAATTTATTTGTAAATGATGTATCTAATAAGGTTCTACTATCAGAATGTATAAAGAACTCATACAGCCCGCAACAAAAAGACAATTAAAAACAGATAGACATGAATAGACATTTCTCCAAAAAGTATTTTCCAGTGGCCAACAAGCACATGAAAAGATATTTAACTTCATTGGTCTTTAAGGAAATGCAAATCAAAACCATAATGAAATACTGCTTCAGTTGGTCCAACAGATTGACAATTATTTTAAAAAATTGGAGGATAACAAGTATTGGCAAGGATGTGGAGAAATAAGAACCCTTGAACATTCCTGGAGGGAATGTAAAATGGTGAGACTTCTTTGTAAAATAGTTCTGGAGTTCCTTGTAAAGATAAACAGAATCGTCATATGACCCAGCAATTCTACTCCTACTAGATACATATTCCAAAGAATTAAAAATAGGAATTCAAATAAATACTTATATACAAATGTTTATAGCAGCACTATTCACAGTAATTGAAAGATGGAAACAACCCAGAGGTCCATCAAAGGATGTATGAATGAACAAGTTGTGTTGTATACATACAACGAATATTATTCAGCCACGAAAAGGACTGATGTATTGATATATGCTACAACATGGATGAACCCCCAAACGCTATACTAAATAAACACAAAAGACCACATATTGTATGATCCCTTTTATATGAAATAGTAAAAATAAGCAGATCAAAAGAGACAAATTAGGGGTTGCTAGGGAATGGGGAGGGGGAAATAGGGAGAGATTACTTAGAGTATAGTGTGTTCTTCTGACATGTTAATGAGGTTTTGAGACTAGAGAGAGTTGACGATTGCATGACATTGTGAAGGCATTAAATGCCATTGAATTGTATATTTTGAAATGGCTATTTTTATGTTATGTGAATTTTACCTTAAAAAGTATATATATCTAATGTTAAAATTTTTTAAATTATATATTCATATGATTTTAAGTACCTTAATATTTCTTCTGGTTGGAGTTATTACAGCTGTTGCAAAATAAATTTTTTATAGGTTTTGTTAAATAATGATTTCAATGAAATCATTAAGAAGTGAAATTTATTGGAAGTATACTTTCTCTTAATTATATAGTATTTATTTTTTTTAAAGATTTTATTTATTTATTTGACAGAGAGATAGAGAGCACAAGTAGGCAGAGTGGCAGGCAGAGGGAGAGGGAGAAGCAGGCTCTCTGCTGAGCAGGGAGCCGGACATGGGGCTCGATCCCAGGACCCTGGGATCATGACCTGAGCCGAAGGCAGCTGCTTAACCGACTGAGCCACCCAGGCGCCCCTATATAGTATTTTTTTAAGATTTTATCTGTCAGAGTGAATGTGTGCACATGCTCAGGCAGGGTGAGTGTCAGGCAGGGGAAGAAGCAGACTCCTCAATGAGCATGGAGCCTGATGTGGGACTCAATCCTAGGACCCTGGGATCGTGACCTGAGCTGAAGGCAGATGCTTAACCTACTGAGCTACCCAGGTGTCCCACCTGTATAGATTTTTTAATGCTATTTAGTTCATGTGCCCATGGATGAATGCTACAAGGTTCAGCATCAATTCTATTCCTGTTTTATTATTTTTAATTTTAAATCCCTCAGTCATTGTTTCTTATAAAGGTGAATTCTGATCCTTATGATGGGCTTATTGGTTGGATTTCTGGTAGTGATCACAGGCAAACTTTTGGGATTTGCAGTAATGGGAGTCAGCTACCAGCATCCTCTAGTCATACCAAATGAAGATGTCTTTAATCTTCTTGGAAGCCTAACCACCTATTTCTGGTAACAGGCCACCATGGCTTGGAAGTAGACTGAATGTGTGAATCTGTGTCTTATGATCACCACCCTTCATACAGACTGAGGGGTCCGTGCCAGCTAATCACTCCTTGCCCAGAAGCAGAACAGGTTTCAGTAGCTTGTATTGCAGCGTGCATAGTTGGATCATCTCCAGGATCGCCCATTCACCTCATGAGGCTGTTGCCCCATTTGCAGTGTGCCACAGCTGTGACCATCTTCCTGCCTCCAAAGACCTGCACCAACTGCAGAGTCTGTGGACTGCATGGCTATGGGCACACACAAGAGATCCTCATCACAAGATGCTACACTGGAAGAAAGCCCTGTTTTATGTTTTATTATACTCCAGTGCTGAGAAACATTAATATAAATAAATAGAAGGTAATGGAAGTTTTATTATGTCATCGTCACTTAGTTCTTTGAAATTCTGTGTCATATGGCAAAGAGCATATAGTTATTTAATGTAAATTTAGTTTTAATGATTATCAGCTGACAACTCAGATTTTCCTTCAATTTCTTTTGAAACTGAAGAATTAGAAAACACTTTAGTTGCATACAGATTTGATAGTCATTAGAGTAGGTCAGTGCTTTCTCAGCACCTAACACTGGTATTTCCAATTGCTCCTGTGTTTAGTGCTTTAGAGGTTTTTGCCTCTGAGGGAACTATATCATGGCAATGGACGTAGGTCAGAAGAATTTCTGTCCCTGGTAAAATGAAAAAGCATTATTGTGTAAAAAGGGGAAGGAAAAGGTGAACTCTTGACACAGGCAGAATAGGTTTTGAAATAGGTTGCAAAAGATTTTCGACTTTTTTTTTTTTTTTAACTTTTTATTTATTTATTCATGAGAGACAGAGAGAGAGAGAGGCAGAGGGAGAAGCAGGCTCCCAAGGAGCAGGGAGCCTGATGCGGAACTCGATCCCAGGGCCCTGGGATCCTGACCTGAGCCGAAGGCAGACGCTTAACCATCTGAGCCACCCAGGCACCCTCAACTTTTTTTTTTTTTTTAAAGATTTTATTTATTTATTCGACAGAGAGAGAGTACAAGCAGGGGGAGCAGTAGAGGGAGAAGAAGAGGCAGGCTTCCCGCTGAGCAGGAAGCCTGATGCAGGGCTTCATTCCAGAACCCTGAGATCATGACCAAGCTGAAGGCAGACGCTTAACCATCTGAGCCACGCTTAACCATCTGAGCCACCCAGGCGCCCCAAGATTTTCAGCTTTTATTTGTTTACTTTTCTAAAGATTTTATTTATTTATTTGACAGAGACACAGGGAGAGCGGGAACACAAGCAGGGGGAGTGGGAGAGCGAGAAACAGGCTTCCCACAGAACAGGGAGCCCGATGTGGGGCTCGATCCCAGGACCCCGGGATCATGACCTGAGCCGGAGGCAGACGCTTAACGACTGAGCTACCCAAGCGCCCTGATTTTCAGCTTTTAACCATAATTTTCTACTACACCTGTGTACCTCTGGAGAAATGTTTACGTACCTACAGGGTCCTGAATGCTCTCTGAGGTCTTGTATAAAGTACTTCTTACTGCCTGCCTTCAGATAAGAATCTTGAAATAGATTGGGACTGCTGTATGTGAATAAAAAGATGGAAAAAAAAATTGGGCCTTAAAGCTTTTGTTTGAAAATGGATTTATTTTTTATCTGGAATAAATGTAGAATTAATACAAAATACTTTAACATTTGGTGAATTAGGAGTGTTGGCTTTTCTTATAATTGTTTTCTAAAATTTTTCCCAGGTCAATGAATGGTCATTGAAGATAAGAAAGGAAATGAGAGTTGTTGACAGGCAAATAAGAGGTAAATTATGATTTTATGTCTCCTATTCCTTACCCTCTTGATAATTTTATATTAGTTCATAAAAATAAACTACATCTACCCATTGTAAGACATAGTTTATTCTTATATTAATTATTTATAGTTGTCCTAATTATTTTGCTTTTTAATCATTTTAAGAAAAACCTTTACATTTTATAAGAAATCTTTCCTCTGGCCTGCAATTCAGCTCTGCAGGGGGGAGGGGCCATGTTTTTTTTATCTCTGATTTCCTAGAGATCCAGTTAGTGTTAGAAACAAAGCAAGTGCTCACATACTGTGATAGGCAGACTAATGGCCTTCCAAAGATGTCCCCATTCTGATCTCAAGAATCTGTGAAAATGTTACCTTATGTGGCAAAAGGGACTTTGCAGATGTGATTAAATTAGGGATCTTCAGGTGGGGAGATTATGCTAGGTTGTCTGGGTGGACCCAATGTAATCACAAGGGTCTTTATAAGAAGGAAATAATATGTTGAGAAAAAGTGAGAGAAAAGGAGATGTGACCATGGAACCAGATGTTAGGGAAATGTCCTTTGAAGATGGAGGAAGAGGCCATGAGCCAAGGAATGCAGTTGTCCTCTAGAAGCTAGAGAAGGCAAGAAATTGATTCCTTCCTGAAGACTGTAGAACACAGCCCTTCCAACACCTTGATTTTAGACTACCGACCATCAGAATTGTAAAAGAATCACATTGTGTTGTAAGCCATTGTAAAAAAAAGAACTAAAGAAACTTCTTCCTACTTAAAAGAAGTGTTTTATGAAATTCACATTAAAGTGTACATAAGGAATGCAATTCCATTTTCACAACTCTATCTTGGCATGGCTATAAATTGAAGAAAATACATTTCTAAATAGAGTTGGTTATTAGGAAGTACAATTTAAGGTGACTTGCACAGAGATAGTAATGTTTGAAACTTTTGTGATTTTTAACACTTTCATGATTGGAGAAAAATTAATACCATAAGGATATTTCAGCATCACTACCGTAAGAAAGGAATTGGAGAGGGCAGTTCTATTCCCAGCCATGATGGAATAATGTTTTTGAACTTGTACTTGCACTCCCATCATAAATAGAAAACTGGACAAAATCTGTGAAACATTGCCTTCAAACCTTGGACAACTGACAGTGAAGGATTTTGATCACCAGGAAGAGGGAAACAGGCTTAATATGGTCCTGATTTTCAGCCTGGAGAAACTTTCTGGATCATAGCACATAGAAGGAGGTTCTAAGCAGAGCAATGGTGGTTTTGGGGTTGAGGAGACAGAGATCAGGGTTCAGGAAGGCTATAGTCACTGGAATTTGTGGGGCATAATATCAGAGAGAAGGGCAGTACCCAGAGAAAGAGCTCTAAATGTCTACATAGTGTACCATTGAGTCTTTAGCTGAATACTAAGCTGTGCAAACTTAGAATGAGATTTCAAGAGGTTAGGCAAAGAATGATTACTGGGGACAGAACAAATACCAGGACACTATAAACTAAACAATTCTTAGAGCTAACAAAGAATTGAGAGATGGTAGAGTTCTGATCAGACACAGCAAAGAGACATTGTTGAACATTTTGGACATTAAATAGAGAACCCAGAAAGATCATGCCTTTACTATTAAGGCTAAGGTAGGCCTAGATTAAAGGCTACTTAAGCCCTCACCTACAAAGCTTAAAAATAGTTCTTGAACACTGATCTGCAGACAGCTTAACTGCCTGTCAAAATAAAGCTGACCCTCTTTAAAAAAGGAAAACCCAAGAAAAGACCCTGAATCACCAGGGGAATGTTGAAAAAGAAAACCAAAGCTGGAGACATCACAATGCCTGACTTCAAGCTATATTACAAAGCTGTGATCATCAAGACAGCATGGTACTGGCACAAAACAGACACATAGATCAGTGGAACAGAACAGCCCAGAAATGGACCCTCAACTCTATGGTCAACTAATCTTCGACAAAGCAGGAAAGAATATCCAATGGAAAAAAGACAGTTTCTTCAATAAATGGTGCTGGGAAAATTGCACAGCCACATGCAGAAGAATGAAACTGGACCATTATCTTATACCATACACAAAGATAGACTCAAAATGGATGAAAGACCTAAATGTGAGACAGGAATCCATCAAAATCCTAGAGGAAAACACAGGCAGTAACCTCTTCGACCTTGGCCACAGGAACTTCTCGCAAGACATGTCTCTAAAGGCAAGGGAAACCAAAAATGAGCTCTTGGGTCTTCATCAAGGTAAAAATCTTCTACACAGCAAAGGTAACAGTCAACAAAACTAAAAGACAGTCTACGGAATGGGAGAAGATAGTTGCAAATGACATAACAGATAAAGGGCTAATAGATCTAAGATCTGTAAAGAACTTCTCAAACTCAACACCCAAAACACAAATACTCCAGTCAGGAAATGGGGAGAAGACATGAACAGACACTTCTCCAAAGAAGATATACAAATCGCTAACAGACACGTGAAAAAATGCTCCGCATAACTTGCCATCAGGGAAGTGCAAATCAAAAACCAAAATGAGATACCACCTTAAACCAGTTATAATGGCCAAAATTAACAAGACAGGAAACAACAAATGTTTGCAAGGATGTGGAGAAAAGGGAGCCCCTTACACTGTTGTTGGGAATGCAAGCTGGTACAGCCACTCTGGAAAACAGTGTGGAGGTTCCTCAAAAAGTTGAAGATAGAGCTACCATACGATCCAGCAATTGCACTCCTGGGTATTTACCACAAAGATACAGACATAGTGAAAAGAAGGGGCATGTGCACCCCAGTGTCCATAGCAGCAGTGTCCACAATAGCCAAACTGGAAGGAGCCGAGATGTTCTTCAACAGACGAATGGATAAAGAAGATGTGGTCCATAGACACAATGGAACATTACTCAGCCATCAGAAAGGGTGGATACCTACCATTTGCGTTGACATGGATGGAGCTGGAGGGTATTATGCTAAGTGAAATAAGTCAAGCATGGAAAGACAGTCATCATATGGTTTCACTAATATGTGGAATATAAGGAATAGGGCAGAGAACAATAGGAGGGAGGGAAGGGAGGGAAACCTGAATGGGAAGAAATCAGAGAGGGAGACAAACCATGAGAGACTCTGGGAAACAAATTGAGGGTTGCAGAAGGGAGGGTGGTGGGGGGATGGGGTAACTGGGTGATGGGTATTGAGGGCATGTGATCTGATGAGCACTGGGTGTTATATGCAACTGATGAATCATTGAACACTACATCAAAAACTAATGATGTACTATATGTTGGCTAAATTGAACTTAATAAAAAAATTAAATACACTGAAAGTAAAAAAAAAAAGGAAGACCCAAAAATTCAGACACTCAAAAACGAACCATTCAGAGTGTCCAACATCCAGTGAAAAATGACTAGAAAGAGACAAAGTATGACCCCAAATCAGGAAAAGAATTAGGCAATATAAATTAGACCCAGAAAAAACAGAGATGATTGAATAAGCAGACAGGACTTAAACAGCTGTTATCAATATGTTGAAGAAGTTAAAGGAAAACGTGAACATAATGAGATAAATAGAAGATGTAGAAAAGAATAACATGAAACTTATAGAATTTAGAAATAAAATGAAATAAAAACGAACACTTCACTGAGTTTAACAAGCAGGTAAGACAGTAATGAAAAATAAGATCAGTGAAATTGAGTATACAAACTATCTGAACTGTAATACAGAGGGGGAAAAATGGATATGAATATAACATCAGTGACCTGTGGAACAATATCAAGTAACCTCATTCATTTGAGTCTCTCTGAAGGAGAGGAGTCTGGAAAAGACCACATGAAATAGTAGCTGATGGAAACTGTAAACCCACAGACCCAAGAACTCAGTGAGCTTCAAAGAGGATAAACAAAAGCATACCAAGGCATATCATATTCAAATTACTGAAAGTTAACAATGAAGAGAGAAAATAGTCTGAGAAAAAAAGACACGTTAAATACAGAAAACGGTAAGGATGATGAAAAATTTCTTTCAGAAGCAGTGTAAACCAAACCATCTTTAATATGAAAGAAAAGAACTCAACATTATCCTAGAATTCTATATCCAGTGAAAATAGCATTCAAAGGTGAAGGTGAAATAAAGATTTTTAAACAAAAGCCAAGAGAATTTGCTGCCAGGAAATCTACAGTACAAGAAATGGTAAAGGAAGTTGTAAGCTGAAAGAAAATTATAACCGATACAAACTGGGATCTACCCAGAGGCATGAAGCATGCTGGAAATATTAGGTATGTAAGTAAATATATTATTTTTTTTAAAGTTTCCTTTAAACATTATTTACTGTTTTAAGTAAAAATAATGTGAGGCTTGTAACAGGTAGAAATAAAATGTATAGTAGAACAAACGATTGCAGTGTCATCTTTAGAAACCTTGTAAATGCAGGTAGTGTCTCACAAGCCTTGTTTATTCCTGTTTTGTGCTTTGCTCATTTTATTTTACTTTATTATTTGCTCATTTTATATATTCTTATTTATGAAATTATCTTTAAGCCCTATCTCTTTCGTGATATTTCCTATTATTTTTCATTTGTAGCAGTTTATTAGTTAACTAACTCTAACATGGTATCAGAAAAAGATCATGGGTTTTGGAGTCAACACTACCAAGTTTAAACCCCGTGTTTACTGTCAATTAGCCATCTACCCCTATTAAAATTCTTTGAATCTCATAGAATTGTTATGACATTTAAATTTGCAAATGTATGTAAAGTGTTTATGCCAGTACCTGGCATAAAGTAGGGTTTACTACACTGATGGTGATACCAAAAAAAAAGGGGGGGGGTTGCTTTAGACAAAGTCTGACTTTGAAGTAATGTGGTTGCTTTAAATATTACTTCCATTTGAAGATTTATCATAGAAACTTTTATTGTCTTTCATTTGGTTTTATATTAGCAGTCAAGGTGAATAGATTTTTTAAAGAAATACCAGTGTAAAAACTAGAACCTGCAAAATTAACCTATGATCTTTAAGT